CCCTCAGCCCCGGGAGTCCAGGCCCCGGCCCCCTCCTCCCTCAGACCTGGGTCCAGGCCCCTGGACTCCCCCTCAGCCCCGGGAGTCCAGGCCCCGGCCCCTCCTCCCTCAGACCTGCGACCAGCCCTGGCCTGCCTCTCCTAAGACAGGCTTCAGGAGGGGCCCAGCGCTTGCCTCTCCGGGTGGCCGTGCTGCCCCAGCCGGCCACCTGGCACTGGTCTCCGGGCTGAGCACAGCGGAAGGGCAGGCGCAGGGCCTGGGCTTGAGGCCCCAGCACCACAGGCCTGGCCAGCTTCAGCAGCATGAGGTCGTGCTCGTCCGTCCGCCTGTGCAGCAGGGGCCCCGAGCCCGGGCGGTACTTGGGGTGGAGGATGGGCCGCGAGGTCCGGCGGAGCTGCTCCCCCTGGAGCAGCAGCAGGTGGTCGTCCCCCACTCGGGCCCACAGCGGCCTGCCGGGGAGAAGCGGGGAGAAGCGGGAGTGGGGTGCAGCCTGCCTGGGAGCACAGGGTCCCGGGGTGGGGGTGGGGGGGGGAGAGGCGGGGCTGGGGGTTCCTGGGGGAGGAGAGGCTGGGGGACAAGGGAGGTGGGGACCCCAATTGTGGGGGGTAGGTGTCTGGATTCCTGAACTTCGCAGGAATTGAGGGCTGGGATGGGGTGCGTATGCACCTGGACAAACCCACCCTCGTCTGTTTTTGGGGGGTCAGGAGGTGAAGATTTTCTCACCAGACCCTGCCGAGCCTGTTACCTACAACCTAAATGGCACCCCAGGAGGAGGAGCCCGCCTGGGTGCTGCACTCACCCAGCACCGCTGAGAAGGGCCACACCGCCCCCTGGCGGCCACAGACCAACCCTGCTTCTCCTCCAGGAAGTCCTCCGGGACTGACCCGCGCGCGGGCCAGAGGTGCCCAGCCGGCCTCGCCCCTGGGCCCGCCTCCGCACCCTCCGCGGCGCCCGGGGGCCCCTACTTGTTGTTGGAGCAGTGCGCGGCCGTGAGCACCCAGCTCTTGTCGATGAGGACGCCGGCGCAGTGGAAGGCGAGGCCGCTGAAGAGGGAGACCTGCCAGGGCTGCGAGCCGCGCGGGCACGGGGCGCCGGCGGCCAGGGCGTCGGGGCCCGCCGGGGAGCCTGCCTCCCCGTCCAGCGCGCGGGCGTCTTGCAGGTCCACCATGGACAGGCTCTTGCCGCCGTTGGCCATCTGAAGGTCGGGCTCGTTGGCTTCCGAGTAACTTGAGCTGCGGGCAGGTGAGGGCTGGACCCCGGAGGACCTTGTGACAAAAAACAAGTCCTTGTTTTCGGGGGTTGGAGACGGTAACCGGGTGAAATCTATCAGACTGCAGGGAGACAAGCACACACAGGGAAAGAAGGGGAAAGAAGAACTGTGAGTGCAGCCGAGGCGGGCCCGAACCGAGAGCACCCGCCAACCTGCCGGGCCTGGGGCCGAGCCCTGAGAGGGGGCGGGGGGAGGCGCGGAGGCCGGGGAGGGGCACACGTCCTGGGGCCCAGCAGCCCAGTGACACAAGCAGCCCACGCCTGGGCTGTGACCCCAGCAGGAGCCACCCCGGAGGAGGGCGGCGGCCGCCCCTCCCGCACAGAACCTCTGCTCTAGGGGCCCCCGCGGCTAGTCCCAGGCCGGGCTGCTCCGCGGGCCCTTTCCCCGTTCAGCTGCATCTTGGGACCATGGGTGCGAGGGCCAGGGATGTTCTGGAAAATTCTCCTTAGCTAAGCCCAAACCCCAGGGTCCTGCACTGAGAGCCCCGACTTCAAAGCCATGGCGTTCCCTGTGCCTCTCCCCTCTCGTTCTGATCAGACTGGTGACTACAGGGGGGCCTCGGCGGAGCTTCTCCCTGCCCGGCCTCCCGCGGCCGCCCCCTTGTCTGACTGGCAGGCGGGGGCTGGAGTTCCTGGCAAAAACAAGGCGTCAGAGGAGGCTCCTCAGCGTGACTCAGGGCGGGGGGGCCTGCGCCCTCCCCCGGCCTCCACTCTCGGCAGTCTTCCCGTGTCTTCTGGCCCCTGCCCACAGCCGGCTCCTTGGCGGAAGCCACGACTGCGGTGGGGCCAGTGGGCTCAGGAGCGAAGGCTTCAGAGGAGCCTGGGGGGCTGCAGGCAGCAGGGATCTGGGGAGCCGAATGGGTTGGGCTGGGGAGCTAGCGGTAGCTAGAGGAAGAGGAAGCACCGAGCCCCAAAGGATGGGCTTTGATGGGCAGCAGCCGTGCCTGCTGGGGCTGTGGCTCTTGAGGGACTGAAAGAGCTGGACAAGGCAACACGGGTAGCTGGGAGGACCCCAGACTGGCCAGGGGGCTCGGCTGTGTCCACAGCATCCTCAGGTCTCATGTCCTGCCCACACCCCGGCCTCCGTGTGTCCCCAGGCTGAGAGGAACCCAGGAGTGGCACCGAGCCTCGATCTCCGGCCTCCTCTGGGCCTGCTGTCCCTGGCACCCCCAACACCTGAGCGCTTAAGCTTTAAGGCCTGCCACTGCTGTTGCCCCAGGAGGAGGTCAGCCCCACTCTGCTGCTCCAGCCTCAAAAGCTGGCCCCAGAGGCCGGGGTGAGGCAGGAGTGGGGCTGGCTCCACACGAACGCCAGCCTCCTTAGAGTCACATTTAGACCCGGCGCTCCGCGCACACCCTGCCTGCCTGTGTATTTCCAGCCGCGGGGCCCCGGACGAAGGCCTCGGAGCGTGGCCAGTCTTCAGCTCAGGGTTCCCGGCGCCAAAGCCTGGCTGAGCCACGCCCGCTCCCACTGAAATCACGCACCCGAGCGCCATCCTGGAGACTGTGACTCAGGCCCGGGAAACACCGGAACAGGGATCTCAAGCACACTCCAGTGGAGCTGGAGAAGCACCAGGAAACCCAGGAGTGTCTGGGCTCAGCAGCTGTTCACGAACAGGCTGCCTCCCTCGGGCCTGTGCCTCCAGCCCTCCTCCTGGAGTGCCTGTTCCACCCTCCCTACCTGCGGAGGCTCATCCACCTGAGCTGAGCACCTGCGCAAGATAAATCCAGTCTCGCCCCGCCTGTGTTACTGACACTGGCTGATGCCGCCTCCCCTGCTGCCACAGACGGGCACCCCACCGCCCCTACACACCCAGCAGCGCTCACCCAGAGAGGTCGCTGTCGATGACCATCTTCTGCAGGCCTGCAGAGATGCTGCTGCTGCCAGAGCCGGGCGGGGAAGCCAGGTCGTTGGTCCCGGCGAGCGGCCCGCTGCCCGGGGTGCTCAGCGCCGTGTGGACGTCTCTTAGGATCCGAGGCAGGGGCCCCAGTTTGGATATAATGCTCTACAAAGGCACAGCAAGAGGCAGGCATGACCCGACGGGGCCGGCTGGGAGGCCAAGAGCGCGGCGGCCACCGTGGCTCAAAGCGGCCCAGGGCCTGCGGACCTGTGACCCCCACCTCCCCTGCCGGCCAAGCCCGTCAAGTCTGGGGGTCAGGGGGGCCTGCGGACTACACTCCACTGGCGCCACAGCTGTTCCTGGGACCGGCGGAGGTCCGAAGGGAGGGTGCTGAGCGCCTCAGAGCGTGTCCTCAGGCCCCCGCAGGAACGCTCACGTGGGAGTGCGGAACTCCCACGCCGACACCTCCTCTCCCAAAGCACCTGCCCCACCTCCACACCTGAGCTCCCGAGCCTGTCCAACAAACAACACATGGGCAGGCCAGCAGAGGGCAGTGCCCGGGCCCGGATGAACCGCACCTCTGTGGCTTAGATTTGGGGGTGCTGAGCTGGGGGAAGAGACTCTGCCTTCGCCTGTGTATGCACCGGCGTCTGCACAGGACCGTGCAAAAATAAAAGGCGAAACTTGAGAGGCCGGCAGCGAACTGCGCTGCAGCACCGCTGCTTGGGCAGTGGGGTGCCACGCCTGTGCCCGGCTGTGCGGAGACGCGGCTGGGGCAGGTGGCAGCCGGTTGACAGCCCCGGGGGAGAGGGCCCCGGACCTCACTCCACCTCCCTGCGTGTGTCTCTTGCTGCCAAGAGCAGTGGGCACAAACAAGCAGAAACGGAGGCAAGAGGCTGTCTGCAGCGGGTAACCCAAGGCCGCGCTCAGCCGGCAGCCAGACCGCGGGCGTGGACCTTGGCAAGCCCACGACAGGGAAACACGCCGCCTCACGCACATGTGGGAAAGGACTGCTGTGCCTGGCTGTGCCTTGGCCAGGCGCAGAGCGTGTGCGGAAAGGCACACACCAAAGTGCCCAGTGGCCATCTCAAGGCCGCAGGACAGAGCCAGCAAGGCTGGCCAGCCCTGTTTCAACACTTTTGAAAGATGACCTCTTGGAACCCTAGAAAAAGACAGATACGCCGGAAGCAGATCCTAGCAGGCTGGGCCCCCACTGCCAAGAACCTGCTCACTGTGGAGCCTGGGGCTGCTGGGGGGCCAGAGGAACCCCCGGCTACAGGGGTGCATGTGCTCCAGGCTGCAGCGACGATGGAAGAGAAAACCATCTTTGCAACTGATGGCCAAGGGCCATCCCGAAGGTCTGTAAGTTCCTCGGGACATGTGGCGGTGTGGCACAGTGGCCTCAAAACCCAGAGCACGGATGTTCTCAGAAAAGAGGCCATGTCTGACTGAACACGGGCTCCTGGGCAGGGCGCGCACTTCACACGCGGGACCGTCCACTCCAGGCGGAGCCTGGGGTCACAGTCGGAGCCCCGGTTCCCCAGCCTCGAGTCAGAGGGGCCCCACACAGGCAAACCCTCTGACCTCTGTGGGGTCTCTGAGCGGGAGGCGCCGCCGGCCCGCCCCCCGCCCCAGGCAGCCCCCTGGGCACTGGCACCTGCTCCAGCTGGCTGACGGCCTCCCAGAGCAGCGAGTGCAGGCTGGAGAGCTCGCGGCCCAGGTCGATGTAGCCCTCGAAGCCCGCGGTGTTGGAGATGGTCTCAGGGTTGGAGATCTCCAGCAGGAAACGCTGCATGTTGGTCCACTCGTGCTCCAGGAACTGGTTCATGAACGACATGTACTCCTCCTTGCTGCCAAACCTGGCGGAGGTGCAGCGGGTGGGCACCTTGGACGCCCAGATACGCCCTTCTCTGACACCCCACCCCGGCCACTCCCACGCTACCATCTCCCCAGCCAGCCCACCGTCTCACTCAGAGTCCTCTTTCCTCAGGGTCCAAACCAGAGACCCTTTTCTGGACCTTCAGCCTCTCAGGACCTGGAACGTTCCATGGCCCTCATGCCAGTGGCAGTCTTCCCCTTTCCTCCAGGTCTCCCCAGCCTGGAGTACAGGAGTCTCAGTGCCCCTCAGCCAGGTCGCTCTCTGAGCTTCAGACGTGCACGCCTCGGGCACCAGCCCTCCGACGCAGCCCGGCAGGTCTGAGGCCGTGTCTACCACTGCACACGCAGACCCAAGTCCTTCCCGCCTCCATGCCACGCGTCACGCAACCGAGAAGCCTGCCGGGCGCCGGCTCTGCCCTCGGGCGCTAAGGCCCGCTGACAGCTCGGGATCACGCCTCGGCCTTGCAGCCCCGCCCCGGTCCTGCCACCACCTTAGCGGGAGCCCCAGCTAGGGCCTCCTCGGCGGCCAGGCCAGTCCTGCTCCCTCCACCCACCTGCCCCAACAGAGGAGCCCACCCCCACCCCAATTAGAGCCCCTGGCTGGCTCCCACCGCCATGTGGGCCGCAACCCTGTGTCCTCCGCGGCCTTGGCGTCACTTCTCCTGGCCTGGGCCCTGACCACGTGCGAGTGCTCTGGGCTCGGCCCTCCACACACAGGTCCCCCCGCTCCCCCGCCCTGAGCAAGCGCATGGGCTCTCATCTGGACGCGAGCTAGGAGGCACCCCATCTCCCGCCAGGCTCCGAGGGTCCTCCCGAGCTGGCATGGGGCTCTACACCGCTCGGCTACGTAATCTACTTCTCCCTCTTGCTGAAGTGCTGAGCTCTGGGAGGGGCCAGGTGTGAGCCAGAGATGGCCCTGGATGGGCTCCAGCTTCCCCGGGTGAACAAGGGGCCCAGTCCCCCTCCTCCCCACAAGTTCCAGGGCACAGCAGAAGAATACAAACAGCCTCCCTGCGCAAAGACCCCCGTTGACACCAGTAAAGGAGAGCAGCCTGGGTGCCCAAGCACAGGCCGGGCCCGGGGAAGTGGAGCCTGTCACTCAGTCGTGTCAAGACGAGGCCCACGAGGGTTAAGGACACGGGAGCATCCTTATGATGAAACGTTAACCACCAAAAGCAGGGGTACCCCCTCTTCTCACTTTTGAAAATTAAGGAAACACAGTAAGGTGGCAGCTGCTTTCGGGGGGCAGGGGGGAGGCGGGAGGAGATGCCGGACATGGAAGGACCGCGAGGCCTGTGGCCTCCGGCCTCGACTGGCCCGGGCGGGGGCGGCACTCACTTGGCAAAGTTGGCCAGGTTCTGGGTAACCTTGGCGATGAGGGTGAGGGTGCGGGCCGTGCGGTCATCCGGGTACTCCTGCAGCAGGTTGAAGAGCGAGGGCGACATGATGGCGGGGCAGAGGAAGCGCAGGAACAGGGAGGCGCTGATGAGTCGCTCGCTGATGTCCGGGCGCCCGCGGCTGCTGCACTCCTGCCGCCAGGAGGCGAACACCTCTTTAAGCTCTCGCGGGAAGACGCTGTGTGGACACAGGAGGTGAGTGGTCAGGCAGGGGCCCGGGACGGAGGTGCAGAGCAGGGACCGGCGCTGCTCCCTGGAGCCCTGAGCTGCAGCACAACGGCTGGGGAGCAACTTGGGCGCTGGGAGTGAGACCGGCCGGGGCGTGTGGCGGAGCCGAGCGCCGGCTCCAGGCGGGGCGCAAGACAGCACAGAGGAGCCCACCTGGGTCCGAAACAGAGTCTCTGGCAGAGCCAGCTCCCCCTGTGCTTCACCCGTGTCCCCCAACCGCAGGCATGTGGGCCTCGGGGAGAGCCAGAACTCAGCCCAACAACCGCTGCTCCTCGGCTCCATCACTGGCTCTGAGGCTCCCTCCTCCCCTGGGCTAATAAGACCCTAAGGATGGAAATTTCCTTCAACAGGTGGGAGCACCGTCCCCCACTTACTGGCGGGAGGAAATGGAGGCGAGGACCTGCACACAGCGACAGACTCTGCACCCAGTTAGGGCACCCAGTTAGGGCACGTCCCCCAGGCAGCCCGATCTGCCACAATCAGACCCTTCCGGGCCAGCCGCCCAGGGCTTTCCTGTTCCTCCCACCCCAACCCGAGCTCACAGGGCCTGAGGGCCGAGGCCCCGAGGCCCTAGAGGTGTCAGCCAGCAAGCTGATGGGCGCACCGGCAGGCCTGAAGTGCCTAGTGCAGGCCTGCAGCTCAGTGCAAGGTGGGCACTGAGATCACCTCTCCGGGTCTCGCACAGAACACAGAGGTGCCTCTGGGCCCCTGACGAATGCCAGGCGGGAAATGGAAAATCGCTGCCCACGGACACGTTTCCCCGCATCCCGCACCCAGCCCACCTGAGCAGTGGGCAAAGGGGCAGCACCCGGCCCCGCCAGGGCGGGATGGCACCACCCACCCTATCTTCCGGCTGGCCAGGGTGTGCCCACACCACTGGCGACAGCCATTCCCCGCCCCAGGCATCACTCGCTGAACAGGCCTCTCTCTGCTGTCCTTCAGGAGCGGCAAGCCGCTGCCAGGCTCTGGGCCCGCGGTCTGCCCTCCCCAGGGCACTAGGACGGGCAGGACGGGGACTCCGGCAGGGCTCCACTGGACGCTGCCGGGCTCGGGCTGTGACACCTGCGCTGGGGCGGCCACGGTGGCGTGAAGGAGGGGCCAGACTGGAGCTGGGCGAGGGCCCTGGCGCAGGGAGGCGTGCTCGCCGATGAGGGTGCGCGGAGGGGAAGGCCCAGCCGAGAAAGGTCTGCGGCAGGCAGAGGGGTGAGGAGACACGGCCGGGACGGGCGGACGCAGGCTGGGCGGGCGGGACTGAGGAAGACATCGGGGGGTCCCTCCAGTGGGAAAGTCACCACCGCTCAGGGCCGGGCAAGGGGACAGTCGCTGACCCCTGCCACGAGGCTGCCCACGCCACAGCCGTCCACGTAGCTCCGGGGAGCGGGAGCAACTCGGCCACACACCCCTGCTCTCCCCTGGGCTGGGGGTAGTGGGCAGCTGTCCGCTCTTCCAGTCCCAGTCCAGCGCTCCCCGCCTCTCCCCCCGCCCGGGGGAGGCGTGCATGTGTCAGGGGCCCACACGAGCTCCTGCCGACAAACTCCTGACCTGAGCGCCCAACCCTGTGACAGGTGAGCAGTCTCGGGCTCTGGGCCCCGCGGCCTCCGTACTCGTGGCAAACACGTGCAGCGGGCTGCTGTGGGCACTCTTAAGGCGGCACAGCCTGTGCCCGCTTCTATTCTGGAACACTCCCTTACAGGCAGGAGCCGAGAAGGGGTCTGGACAGGGTGCGGCGGCCCAGGAGACCCAGCAGGGTCAAGCAGAGGGTGAGTTCCAGTCCCAGAGGCCCCTGGACACAGAGGATAAGGTGTGCCCCCAGCGCGTGTTCTCTCTCTCAGTCACGTGTCGGGGTGCTGGAACTGCGCCCCTCCCAGCTGTGTGGACAGACCCCGCGCGGCGCCTGGCACACGGCCACCCTGACAAAGGCCCAGGCACAGGGTGGGGGCCCTGGCTAGCTGGGCCCCCTAGGGGTGCGGGGCCCACACTGACCAGTAGGAGTTGATGATCTTGCAGAAGGCCAGCTCGCAGCACATCTTGAGGTTGCCCTGGTGCTCGGGGAGGTCAGCGGCCGAACACTTGCTCGGGTCCACTTCACAGTTCTCATCTGACTCATACAGCGCCTTGATGAACTCCCCTGTGTCCGGAGGGCGGGGGCGTGAGGGCCCGGCGGCCAGGCCCCACCCACGGCTGCCTGCCCACTGGCCTGCCCGGCCTACCTAGTGCGTCCTGAAGGTACTTCTGGCCCACCAGCTTGAGGTACTCCTCGATGGCCTTGGTGGCCAGCGTGTTCTCCCGGAAGATGAGATGCTCGTTGTCTCCGCAGCGGTCCACCTCTGACATCATCAGGTCAGTCAGGAAGTCCTGAGGAGGCAGGAGGCGAGCAGAGTGGGCCCGAGCTGCCCAGCAGGTGGTTCCCAAGGAGTCCAGACCTGCGCCCCAGCCTGCAGAAGCCCCTACTTCTTGAAGCCGTGGCTGCCAAACTGCTGGTGCCTACCCTCGGGGTGCTCAGGTAGGCAGCCCGGAGAGGCGCTCCAAGTTGGCAGCATCGGGCTGGGCCCAGAGCCGAGGCAGCCTGGGCACGCCTCCTGGCACCACGAGCCCCACATCGCAGCAGACCAGCCAGGCCCAGCCCTTGTCTGGTCCTGACGGGGCCTTGTCTGGGGGACCTGAGCAGAATGACCTCACCGCCACAGCGCCGAGAAAGAGATGCACTGTGGCTGCCATCGCCCTTACTCCACACCAGAGACTCCTGCGTGGCCCAAGGGGAGGAGGAGAGGGCAAGGCTTCAGCCGCCCCCCAACCCAGCACCGCAGTCTCCGACTGCCTGGAGGGCTGGCCTGCTGGAGGGGAAGGGAGCCCGGGGGGCCCTCACTGCTCGGGAACCCAGACTTCCTGGGAGGACAACCGTGCGCCCCACAGGCAGATGCTGGGGGAGCCCCAGCCCACACCTTCCCCCGACTGCACAGGCACCACGTGAACATGGCACCCAGAGGCCAGAACTCCCTTCCTCGGGAGTCCCAGCCTCCTCGCTCGCGCCCACAGTCAACCTTGTCACGAGGTGTGGGGGGTGCACAGCTTGTCGGAGACTGGGTGAGGGGTAGGGGAGACTGGGGGCAAGGCTGTGGGGTGTGGCTGCAGGACAGGACTGCCAGGCACAGGCCAGGTGACTACAGGGGAGTAGGGCTTCTGAGGCTCTGGAAATCCTTCCCACCATTGTGCACAACTTTGGGGCCCCCTGAAGACCCACGCAGCCCTGAAACATAGACTGAGTTAGTCCCAGGAACCACACAGCCTGAGGACCCTTCCAGGCCTAGACGACCTCCACGAGCCCCTTCTCTGAACGCGCTGAAGCCAAGGTGCGTGTTACACGAGGCCCTGCGGCTTCACCCCAGCCCCTGCTCGCTCCCGTGGGCCTGTCAAAACCTAGGGCCGGCACTCAGGCCTAGCGCTGAGACAGGGAACAAGGCCCCTTACAGCTAAAACTAGAACTGCGCGTGGCACAGAATGGGAAAGTGACCTGTGCAGGGCCACAGCCATCTGGGGCACCACGAGTCGGGGGGGCGGGGTGGTAAGCAGGGAGAAATGCCACAGAGTCCAAGGCCAGGAATGTGGAAAAGCAGCGGTCCGGGGGAGCAGTCTGGGAGCAGACGTCGAGCTGCACCGGGGCCTGCCCTCAGCACCTGCAGGGTCTCCGCCACGGCACTTTGACCTGGTCGCCCCACCTGCCCCGTGCCCAGAGGGGCTCCAGCCATGGGAGCTCCTTTCTTTCTGCTCTGCTGCACCTACCGCTTCCCCTCCCCACCTTAATGCCCGGGGACAGGGGCCCTCTATAAAGAGCACCCTTCTCTCATCTCAGCCCCGAGCCCCAAGAGCAAGGTCACTTCCCACTGAGGTCAGGTCAGCCCCGCTCACGGGCCAGGAACCAGAGCAGACGCAGCATAGAAAGGCTACCAACTCCCTCTCTGGGTCAGGGGCTTCCTGGCTACCGGCCCTGTGGACGGGGAAGTTAAGGACACCACAGTCAAGGTGGCCTGACAACACGGAGGGACACAGCGTCCCCCAGGGAGCCCACACCCGAGAGGCCCGCACTGCTGTGCCGACAGGCCGGGGGCCAGGGACTTCTGGGAACCTAAGAGGATAAGGAACCCCCAAGAGACAGGTGCCCCGAGCGCCAGTCTCTAATCCCCGAGAACCTGCACCAGGGCAGGTCCTCGCCCCATCATGGGCCACTGACCCCAACCACACGGCGAGGGCAGAGGCTCAGCTCAGTGCAGGCGCAGGGACATCCACCTCGCGGCACACCCCCCATGCGGCCTTCTGGACGGGCCCCTGGGGCAGTGCCTCCAGAGGGGGGGCCCAGAGGCCCAGAGGCGCGCGCTCCCCTGCGCTGGGCAGCAGGCGTGGGAGCCTTGCGAAGGGCGGCGGGGTCGAGGCGGCGCCTGCCCTGGGCGCTGGCCCGGGGGGGCTGTGACGGCAGAAGAGTGCATCAGCTCCGGCACGCGTGGGAACGTGCGTCCAGCGGTTCGGGGGTGCCGGACCCTGATGGCCACCTATGGGGGTGCCAGCCAAACTCTTACGGGGATGTGTGTGCTGGGGTCGCCACCCAGGGGCCAGCCCTCGGGGGCGGTGGGGAGGCCCCGAAACCCAGGTCACCGAAGACAAGAATCCGCCCACAGGCTCCGCGCCCAGCGCCCAGCCCCCACCAGAGCAGGCCTGGAGCCCACCTGGCTGCGAGCGGCGCCCCCGGGCGGAACGCCAGGGCCTGGGGCCGCGCGGTTACCAGGCCTGCCCGAGGGCCCGGCACACGCACCTTCACCTTGCCCGTGCTCTGCAGGATGTGCACCAGGGCCGACGCCATCTCCTCCTTGGTCTTGGCGCTGAGGATGGGCTCCAGGGCGGCGCAGAGCCCCAGGTAGTGGTTGGTGATGTGCTCGGCGAACTCCTTGTACATCTCCATGGGCAGGATGGTGATGGTCTGGTAGCGGGCCTTGATGCGGATCATGGGCCCGGGGCCCTTGCCGCCCTTGGGGTTGGGCGTCACCACCGGGTACCACTTCTCCACGAACTGCCGCCCGGCCACCGAGGCGGCAGGCAGGCTCACCAGGCCCAGGTAACTGTTGCGCTCCTTCTTCTTCTTCTTGTCGGTCTCGCGGTACAGGTGCACGGTGACGGTGCGCAGGGGCGGCAGGTTGTGGAACTCAAAGTGCTCGCCCCAGAAGACGTTGTCCGTCTTGAGCTTGCCCGTGGTGCGGGCGTACAGCACGTCGTCCAGGCACAGCTCGCACAGGTACTTCTTCTTGGCTGGCAGGTCCTTGGCCTCGATCACCCACAGCTTCAGGATGTGCTCCACCCGCCGGCTGTTGTCCTGCGTGTGCACGAGGGCCGGGTGAGGGGGGCGCCAGGGCCCAGGCCCAGGCAGGGGCACCCTCGGGGCTGGGAAGGGCCAGGACGGAGGGGGGGGGGGGGAGGGGCGGGTGGCTCGGGCTGGACCCCTGCTCTGCCTCGTGCCAGCTCCCTGACTGCGGTCAGTGACTTTTCAGAACCTCCAGCCCCTTTTCCGCATTACGGGAGTAAAACCCAGATCAAGTAAGAGGTTAGCGTGACACGTGGCACATGGCAGCCACAGTGCCTCGTTTTATTTATAAAATAAAAACTTTATTAGCTCTTATATTGTTTACTGGGCTAAGTCACCAAGAGGCTGCTGAGGACGCTTTCCTCTGTGACTTCCCCTTGACCAGGACTCACCCAGACCTGGGGGCAGACACAGAAGTCATTAGAGGCGGGGTCCCATGAACCTGGAGGGGAAAGCTTGGGGCACTGGGAAGTCGGAGGCACCCGCCTGGCTCGGGGTGCTCACCTGGAGGAGGGGATAGATGTCTAAGCTGGAATCGGATGGCCCCCGGGGGGGGAGGGACAACACTTCCAGGCGGGAGGACCCAGGACTAAAGGCCCCAGCAGCCCACACTCAGTCCCGGCAGCCACAGAGGTGTGGCTTCCAGGGCAGTCAGCCTGGCCGCAGGACTCCTCCTGAGCCAACAGGGCCGCCCCCTGGGGCCCTGCGTCCCTACAGATCCCGTCTCACAGCAGGGGCCCCTCTCTGCCCCCTCAGGCTGGAGCCCACCTGCTCTGGGTAAACCGCCTCCCCTTGCTTTGGCAAGCGGGTTCAAGGCCTACCTTGTTGGGGTGCACGGCTCGCCGCAGGTTCTCCATCCACTTGTCCCGCTCGGCTGCTGACCGGCAGGAGAAGCACTTACTTCCCGAAGAAGTAGTCACCTGGTGGGAGGGGCGGGACTGGGTCACGGGAGGGCATGGGGCTGCGCCTGGCTTGATGCACTGGGCTCCACAGCCCAGGAGGAGGCACAAGGCACACAGCGCCCGTGCGCCCCAGTCTGCGGCAGCATGCAGCACCAGTGACAGGGGTGGCAAGTGGGGGTCCGGCCCCGACTCCTGCCCCTGCCCCTGGGCGCTCTCTCACCCCGACCTCGCCCTCTCTGCGGCAGGAGATGACAGCAGGGGTCCCTGCCCAGCGGTGACACGGGGTGGCCTCAGGGCTACCTGACCTCTGTAGATGGTTCTCTTTTTTTGCAAAGAACAGTGACAGTCACAGAACGCTAATATTTTGGGGTCCAGACTGCAGACACCAAGAATTGGGCTGCCTGAGGGGGCTGGGCCCTGGGGTCCAAGTGCCTGGAGCCCTGCCCCTGCCCCTACGCGGGTGACTGGGGCACATGCCAGGACCCGCCAGGGAAGGGAGCTGGCCCATGCTACTCCCACTCTGCCCCAGCGCTGGCCCTAGGGGGGAATCCAGACATCTCACCCAGCATCCCAGGGCCTGACTGGGCCTCGGCAACCCCGCTGCGGACAAGTCGCCACACAGAGACCCAGGCAAGGAAGTGGGGCCCAGCGGAGTCCAGCTAGACCAGGGCTTTTGAACCAGGATGTACCAGGGCAGATGCCAGCACTACTCACTCCTCTGGGCTCGGGTACCAGGGGCCGCACTAATGCCCCCTCCCATGGATGATGTGTATTGCCAGGCTCAGCCTCCTAACCAGAGTTCCCCGAATTATGCAAGACTGTTGGGGGTGGGAGTGCGGGGTAGGAAGCTCCCCAGAAACAGGTAGGAAGAGAATATGAATAATCAGAGAAGCAATTAGGTTCCCAAGAACACCTGCAACATCCCTGCCATGGCCTAGCTCAGTCTCAGGCTCAGTGTGACCTCTGCCATCCTCTGGCCTTCTCTGAGCAGTGAGTGTGCTCAGGTGACTCCCGGGCTCTCTGCTCTCAAACCTCATGTCATGAGATGCTCAGGCTGGGAAGCTTCCAGTTCCCACTCTACAGGGGGGAGACAGGCCCAGAAAACGGGGCCACACTGTCCAATGTACCTGAGGGCCTGCTAACGGCGGGTGAGCGGGCTAAGGCGGGGCTCTGTCCCACAGGCTTCCACTCACAGGGCCTCCCGCCTGCCCTACCCATTGTAGGAGCTGCAAGCTGCAAGTGGATTCTGGCCTTGGTCTCCGGCGAGGCCACTGAGCATGTGGGACGGGGTCAGGAGGAGACTCGGCTCTCCAGAGGGGACAGGACCCACCTCGAAGCAGTAGTCCTGGCCTAGGATGCTGCTGTGCACGGGCTTGATAACCACCTCTTCCTCCATGCTGAGGTCCAGCGCCTCCACCGCGCTGCTGGGGCTGAGCAGGGACTCGTGAGAGCGAGACTCCTTCAGCCTTGGCATCAGATGGGACCTGGAGCGGGCAGCGGGCAGGTCAGGCCGGGCCTGCCACCGCCCTCCCCCTGCCCGGCCCTTTCCCGCCCCCGACCCCGGAGTCTGCTCAGACCCCGGCTGGAGCAATCACCCCACTCCAACAAATCCCACTGGCCCCCCGTCTCCGGGTAGACTCGGGGCCCTGTGCTGTGCCGTGTCACCGGTGAAGACCTCGAGGCTCCGCGTGGAAGGGAGCAGAAGTCTACGCAACACCCAGCACGGCGGCGTGGAGGGCCCAGGAGCCCCAGTTGGGGCTGGCGGGTCTGACAGGTACAAGGCGCAGCGGCAGTTGACACTCTGGGGCCTCGCGGCCTGGCCGAATGGAGCTGCTGCTCCTGCCGTGTGGCCGGGCTCCCAGCACAGCAGACGGCACCAGCACCCGTTCGGGGAGAGGCTCTCCCTGCCCCCATCAGACACACAGCACACCCCGGGGCTCCTCCCACCGCTGGGCTGGGCGCAGGACCAGCCAGCCTGCTGAAGCCCCCCGGGCCCAACTGGCCAGACCTCACCCTCACCTCTGAGCTCCCCGCAGGCGTCGCTGAGCTCCTGGCCTCCAGTGGCCCAAAGCCAGGTCCGTCACTCTCACCAAACAAAAACCGGCCTCGGGTCAGAGGGGTTGGGGCTGAGCCTGAGGGGCTCACAGGCAGGTCACCACCCACCACGTCCCCCCCAGGCCACACAGCCTTGGCCAAGAACCCCTGGGCGAGGGCACTCAAGATGCCAGAGATGAGACTGAGAGGTACTGCCAGAGGGCCTCAAGGCTGCTGGCCACCGCCCACCACGCCCTAGCTCCACATCTCCATGGCAACAGCCCTGTGCATCCGAGTCCTCCTGGGGCGTCCCATGTGTGGAGTCAGAGCTGGGACTGGGATCCCAGCCCAAGGGGGTCGACCCCACGACCCCGCAAAGCTGGCGTGTGGTAGGGTTCAGATCACTGGGGCTAAATCTGTGCCCTCAGGCAGGGCTTCTCAAAGTCAGACGGGGGTGGCCAGACCGGGAGGCATCGGTAAGGTGGGCTGAATCGCCCAACCTCTTCGGGCTCATGAGGGAGCCTCCCAGGGAGGCCGGAGCCTGCCGCGCCTCAGCCCTCTCCACACATGTGCGCGCAGCCACTGCTCTGGAGCCCACAGGCCGCGGCCCGAGAGGCCCTGCTGCGAGGGCCCACCTCTTCCCCTCAGCACTGACCAGGGTGGGCGGCTGAGTCCCTTGGCAGAGACGGCATCGGGGCGCCCGGTTCACGGAGGCCTGCAGGCCTCCCTCCCAGCCTGCGGTTTCCTACCTCAGTGCGGGAGACGCCCTGCCTCCTGCTGGGATCAGGCGGCTCTCTGGCCAGTCTGGAAACCTCGCCAGGTAAGGATGCTGGGAGCGGGTGGAGTAGGGGCCCAGGAAGTGCAGAGGGAGGAGTCCTGTGTGTGGCCTCCTCCTGCCTGGGGCGTGGGGAGAGGAAAGGGAGGCAGCCAGAGTTCATCCTTGGGGTCTTCCAGGCAGGTCCAAGGGCCCCGCTCTTGTAGCCCAGGAGCCCAGCGGGCCCAGGCCCAGGCAAGGCCCAGAGTGGCCAGAGGCTCGAGCCTGTGGCCACAGAGCCCGCCTGTCCTCTTCTCTCCCCACCACCTGCCCAAAACAAGCCCTGGCTGGCCCGCACTGCACCGGGAAGGTTCCTGGCTGGGCAGAGGGCTGGGTAGGCATCCTGGCTGCAGCTGGGCAGCCCGGGCCCTCCTCACTCCCTGGCCTTCTCCAAGGCGCACAGGGGTGGAGGGGGTGGGGTGGGAGGCAGCTCACCGGAGGAAGAGGAATGTGGGCAGGCAGGGTCCGGGGAGACCTGGAGGTGCCCCAGTCCGTCAGGAAGACGGCTCTGTCCTCCCGGCCGTGTGCAGGCAGGGCGCTGGAGCGCCAGGCCTACCCCAGGCTGTGTCCGGGAAGCAGCACGCACATCACTTCACTTAACCCTCATCAGGTGCGGGAGTGGGGGAGATGCCGACCACTCTGCCTGGCCTAACAGGAGGCTCCGAGAGCTACGCAGAGGTCCCACCCTCCTACGGGGCCTCTAACCGGACTCCCTGACGCCCACTCCTATCTGAAAAGGGGAAGGGCGCTGAAAGACAGCCACGACGCGCCGCCGGGCTGGGCAGGGGGCGGCACAGCCTCTCCACCAGCCGGCACCCGAGTCTCTGGAGCACCCCTGTCCGAGCCCGCGGAGCGCCCCCCTCTACCGCTCACCACTCCTGGCAAGAGGCTGGGCTCTTCTCCTCCTCGCTGGTCCCTGACCAGTCATTTTCCTGAACCCACACTTCTCAGCCCGACAAAATCCTGCTTTTCTCAGCCCAGCCTGAAGGCCGCCTCCTCGCCACCGTCCCTGGTCTCTCCGGAGACCACAGGTACGCCCAGACTGTGAGGCTCCCCATGCATGCTGGGCTCCACTTCCCCGTCTCAACTGACCCTCTGACAGCCCCCGCCCCTGCCCACCCCTCCTGGGCTGAGAGACCACGCCTCAGAGGCCACGTGACTTGTCTAAGCTCACAGAGGCAGCGAGTGGTCCACTAGGGTAGCGAGTGGTCCTACGGCAGAGTCCAAGACAACTCCACTGGGCAGCTGGGCCCCGCCATCACCCTGCACGTGGCAGAACCGGGAGGGCCCAGGGCCAGCTGACCTGCTCGCCCTGCGCCACGCCACTCCTCCCAGGGGGGGAAGGCAGAGGCACGGGCTGGCTGGGGCGGGCAGCCCCTGCCCGGGGCCCACTTGGGGCTCCGGGCCACGGCCTGCCTGATGGCCTTCTAGCACCCACGGGTTGTTCTTCAACTCCATCTTTTTTTCCTCTAAAAAGGGTAGTGACACAGAAGTTCAGCAAATCCCACAGTATTTTTGGCCGGGGGGATGGGGGGGAGGGGGACCTCAAAGCAAAATTTGCAATAATTGAAAAGCCCTACTTGGCATGGCGAGGGACATTCCCAGCTACGAGTGGGGTAAGTTGAGCAAGGGGCTGTAGAGTCTAGAAAATAAGAGGCTCAGATTCACATTCAACATCTCAAAGCGACAGCAGGAGTTGCCCTGCCTGGCCCCAGGGGGCGCAAGCCCCGTGCGATATACGTGCCCCCAGGTGGACAGGCCGGGCCGGGTTTAGCGGCAGCGCCATGTCTCTGAAAGTGCTGGCAGGAGCTGGGAGCCCTTCAGACACGCTGCAGAGGGCAGGCCAGCAGCGCTAGGGAAATGTTGGGGCACAGGCCCCGCAGTGCAGGCAGGCAGGCTGCAGAGTGAACCCCAGAGCAGTGAACAAGCAGAAGGGCAGCATCCAGGGGCATGGTGGTGGGCGCAGCCGGACTCTTCCTCTGAACACACAACCCAGAGCGCCTTTAAGGCCGGCCACTCCCTAGGCCGCAGTGATACTGCCAGGAGATGCCCGGGGGCAGCTCTGTGAAGGCCCTGCCGCTCTGCTCAGTCCTCGTGGCCAGACACCACTGAGGAACAGCTGTGACCAGCGCCGGAGGATGACCACTGCTGTCCAGGCTGACAGGCCAGGGAGGTGATGCCCCGAGAGGGGGTGACGAGGCAGCCCACTGTGCATTTCAGGCTCCTTACACGCTCCTTGCCTCTGCAAACAGGGCAGACAAAATCAACTCAAATGCACTGGGAAGCTGTAAGAAGAGGTCCTGTTTCCTAAGGTGAAGGCAAGCGAGGTGGGCCTGGAGGACGGGCAGCAGGCACTGCTGAGGGACTGGGCGGGCTCTCTGCCTGTGACTCCCACACAGTCTCAGTCTCCCACTCACATGCTCCCCCGACGCCTGCCACTGCCAAGTCACCAGGAAGGGGAGTGATCCGAAGAGGCTCTTCCCAGAGGTGGCGGCAGGCTCTGGACTCAGGTCAGACACGCCACCATGCCTGTCACCACCAGGTAGGCCCAGAGCGCTGGATAGAACGCTCTGAGGGTGCTTGCGTGCAGTCGGGTGGGCGGGGGCAGGAGCTGACCCCCTGGGAATGGAGCTGCAGGATGCAAACAGGGCAGTCCCCTGCCTGGAACATCCAGCAGAGCCCTCTCCCCCGGGGCCCTGTCTGGCCCTACTACCCTGGGAACCACGGCTCAAGCTGGGCCCAGCTGGGGCCCCAGGGGAAGGGAGGAGAACAGCTGCCAGTGGCCCCAGGGCCCTGGGGAGACAGAGTCTGTCCTCAAAAGGCAGGGAGGTTGTCTGTCCTGCCTGGGAAGGCTTCCAGCAATGACAGGGCCTGGCAGCCTGGGCCTGTCGGCCAGGGAAGGGGCAGGCAGATCCCAGCGGTCACCAGAACCAGTGTGGCCCCGGCCCCACGTGCACTGAGCCCTGGGCCGGGAGGGGCCTCCTACCCTCCCTTCCCCGACAGGCAGCGCTAAGCTGGCAGAGGAGGGTCTCACCCTGGCAACCAAGACAGGCTTCTCAGGTGCTGTGGCTACAGCACAACCAAGGCCTGGCCACCCGGTCCCGGGTCCGAACACGTGCTGGCCGCTGATCGAGCCTGCGGCGGCCGACCAGCTGCTCACGAAGCGCCTACTTTCCAAGGGGCTTCCGAGGCACGCTCTCCGAGGCAAGCGCGCCAGTGTGCAGCCTTCTGCCAACAGCCCTGCACGAAAGCCAGCGTCGCCCCATGGGAAGGCGTGTGGGGCTCCCGACAGGTCTGCTGTGCCAGCTCCCACACCTGCCCCAGGTAACCCAAAGGGTTAGAGGCCACTGAGGTGTGGAGACGCGAGCAGCGTGGCCCACTCACATGGTCAAGAGGTGAAAGTTGGGGTCCCCTGAGGGAGTCTCCTGCTACCCACCTCCTGCCGGACCACCACCTGGCCAGGGAGGCATGGGCCACCCTTAGCCTGCCTGTGGCCTTGGGGACACTCTCCTTTCCACGGACCCAGACTTGCTGGGGCCCTGAGCAAGTTCCGCTCGCTGCCGTCTGCTCACTTGCCAAGTTACTTCAAAGACACTGTACATCCCCAACAGGGTTGTGTCCCGCAAACTTCGGGGC